CAAAAATCAAAATATGAATACGAGGCAAAAGAATCTCTGATCACTTGGATCTTTAGGGGAGGGTAGAGTTTTTTTTTTTTTGGAGAAAAAGTAAGGTAATTGTATTAATGAGTATAACTGTAACACATTACAACCTTTGGTCCACAAAACTCCATGTACAGCCAGCAACCATACAAAAAGTCAACAAAAAACCGGTCTCTCCCAACTACATACAAGAGACCCCCAACTAAATCAAGCAAACAAAAAATCCAAATCAAAGTATTGATGGTGGGGAATATGCTTAAACGAGTCCTTGGCTGACAGCCAGGAATGTAAAGTAGCCAATGCCCAAATCACCAACTCATCTAAGGAGCACCTTTGACCTTCAAAAATCCTACTATTTCTTTCTTTCCACAGGACCCAACACACTACATGAGGGATCGTACACCATAACACCTTACCCCTGATACTTAAGCCTGTCAACTTCCGAGAGAAAAGCAATTCAGCTAAAGACTTGGGATAGCACCACCTCACATTTAGCAGGGAGAAAAAATGGCAGAGCAGCAGATGGGCAACCTCACAATGAATAAATAGGTGATCCACATATTCAACTTCTCCATTGCACATCACACAACTTGTGGAGGGCAGCACCAGACCCCTCCTGATTAACTGCTCCTTGGAGAGACATTTACCATGCACTGCAGTCCAGACCAAGAAGGAGACTTTAGTAGGAATGTGAGGAAGCTAAATCTCTTTCCAAGGAAAAGCCTGAGCCGAAACAGCACTCAGATTTGAATAAAATGACTTCACTGAGAAAATCCCATCCTTAGTCCATTTCCAAATTCTGGAATCTTGCTGATTTGGGTTCAGTTGATAGTCCTGAATCGCTTGTAGCAGCTCTAACAGATAGAGAATTCCCAATCATTGAGATGCCTCCTAAACTTTGGACACCAGTATCCTGTATTTCCCAACCGCTCAAACTGATCTGCCACCACCACATCCCTGTCTTCTGCTATAAGGAATAGCGACGGGACAGTCTCCATTAGGGAGGCACCATTGCACCAGGTGTCTCGCCAGAAACTAATCCTCTTGCCATCCCCTAAATTTAGCCTAATCCCTTGGATAAAATGAGGATAAACCTTCTCAAT